CTGTGTCTTTCATGTAATGTAATTACCCCAGGGGTCGCAATCCAATAGAACTAATAACTATAAGCTACTATAGTAACTATATACAGTAGCATATAGTAACTATAAATGACCATTTTTTTTTCTTTTCAGTAGGTTATGGATAAAATATGGTAAAAATTTGGTTTAATAAAAATAAATAGATTTTTGGAAATCCCCAGGCGACCCCCACTTCATTGTCCCACGACCCCTTTGGGGGTCCCGACCCCCACTTTGGGAACCACTGTGTTAGACAACACACGTCTCCATTATAGTCTGCATATTTCTGTATTTGCATGCGTTCTGAGGATTGACTTGCATGTTTTGTTGTCAAACTGAAGATGTTTCCTAATTGATTAGTGTTTCTGTATTTGGACACATCTTCTTAAAGAAACACTTAACTATTTTTAGAAACAGGCTCATTTTACAGCTTCCCTATAGTTCAACAGTCGAGCTTTTCCATTTTTACATCCATTTAGTCAATGTCCGGGTCTGGCAGGAGCACTTTTAGCTTAGCTTAGCATAAACCATTAAATCAGATTAGACCATTAGCATCTCCAAAAAAAAAAAAAAGTTGTAAAAAAAAAAGTTGAACAAAAGAAGAGGTGATCATCATTTTATTGACATCACTAGATTTACTGTACTGGGAAACATTGTCATGATAAATAAACACGGTGGCAAAACTCAACAGAAAAATCAGATATTATAGTGTAAATACTGTATTTGACTATATGGATGCCGTTTTATCTTTTAATTATTTCAGTCTTTCTGTTGCTGCAAAAAACACAATCAAAATAATTATTTAAAGATGTACTGTAGATATCAAAACCAACTGAGGTGTTTTTTACTATGTTCCCACTCAAACTTAAAAAACAGGACGGTAAATATGGCATATAAGCCTTTTCACTTAGGATCCACGTGTAAAGGTGCAACGTCAGAATTCAAGATGTACTAATACAAACAAAACAAAGTTACAGTAAATCCTAATATGTACTTCAAAAATAGTTTTATGAAAATCAACTTATTATAGGCTTTGAAAAAATATAGACTTGAGGCCACTTTACAGTCCATAGTATTGACAAAAATAGTCACAATAAAATTGATAAGTGACTGCATCAATATTCATAAATATTCTTCATTTATTCATTACATTGACAGAGAAATGCAGCTCAGGAAAACACGTGCATAAAGAAAAACACTAACAAACTGAGAGAACATCATCAGTTTGATTGTATTCATTGTATTCTGCACATTTCTGTGTTAGCATGCGTTCTGAGGTTTGACATGCATGTTTTTGCCGTCAAACTCAAGATGTTTGCTAATTTATTAGTGTTTTTTGATTTGGACAAATTTTCTTAAAGTAACACTGAATAATTTTTGGGAATAGGCTCATTTTACAACTCCCCTATAGTTCAACAGTCGAGTCGAGTTTCCATTTTTACATCCAGTTAGTCGATCTCCGGGTCTGGCAGGAGCACTTTTAGCTTAGCTTAGCATAAAACACTAAATCGGATTAGACCATTAGCATCTCCAAAAAAAAATTTTCAGTAAGTTGCATCATGTACGAAGACAGATGAAAAATGAACACTTGCACTTGGCATATCTTGTCTCTACAAGGACACAATGATATTACAAAGCACTGCTACTTAGCTGGAGACTACCCAGCAAGCATAGTTTGTTTTTAAAAGATGTCTAATAGACGTCTAAACATAGTCTAAAAACAGGCCGAAACTAGACTATAGTCATCAAATAAACAGAAATGAATGACTACACATATAAAGTCTAATCCGTCTATTCGATGACTAGTCTAGTTTCAGGCTATTAGATTTTCGCTGACAGCCCAAGTTTTCCCTAGTTTTAGCCAAGCTGTCTATATTTACGTCTATTAGACATCTATTAAACACAAAATTGTTTGATGGAAACTTTATTCTCATTCTGGCATAATAGAAATGAACTTTGCTGCCGCGCCTTGGCTGTAGCAGGCACAATATTACTACAGTGTCTGAATATTGTCCCCAGCTTAGTAACTAGCTAACCCTAGTTAGTAATGCAACTATAGAAGAGGCAAGGTTCAAATAGGAAAATAACTTTTTTTACGTGAGATGCTAATGGTCTAATCTGATTCAATGGTTTATGCTAAGCTAAGCTAAAAGTGCTCAAAAGTTTAAAAGTGCTAAAAGCTAAAAATGGTTGATATGTAATATCAATGCACCTGTTTCAGCCATTCTACAGTAGCAAGGCATGAGTGAACCATGGCTAAATCTTTAAACAGAAAAATTATTAAGTTTTTTTTTTTTTTTTTTTAGAAAGTTGAGAGAGATGCTAATGGTCCAATCCAGTTTAATGGTTTATGCTAAGCTAAGCTTAAAGTGCACCTGCCAGACCCGGTGATCAACTAAATGAATGTAAAAATGGAAAAACTCGATTTCTTAACTATAAAGGAGTCGTAAAATGAGCCCATTCCCAAAACAGGTTGAGTGTGTATTATCAATGTTCCTGTGTAATATCAATGTGCCTGCTTTCGCCATGCAACAGAAGCAAAGTATGATTATTCCGCATGAAAATATAGCTCCTCGCCATATCAGCCTTGAAATCTGCAACTTTTTATTTTCTGCCAGTCTTAGTGCATGATGAAACCACAGCTGAAGCTTTAAATAGAAAAATTAAGTGTTTTTTAGAAAGTTGAGAGGGATGCTAATGGTCTAATCTGATTTAACAGTATATGCTAAGCTAAGCTAAAAGTGCTCCTGCCAGACCCGGAGATCAACTAATCGGATGTAAAAATAGAAAAGCTCGACTGTTTAACCATAGGGAGTTGTAAAATGAGCCTATTCCTAAATATGATTGAGTGTGTAATATCAATGCGCCTGCTTCAGCCGTACTACAGCAGCAAATTATGATTATTACGCCAGAATGAAAATAAAGTTCCTCGCCATATCAAACTAGAAAACAGCAAGTTTTTATTTTTCTGTCAGTCTAAGTACATGATGAAACCACAGCTAAAGCTTTAAATAAGAAAATTATTTAGTGTATTTTAGAAAGTTGAGGTAGATGCTAATGGTTTAATCTGATTCAATGATTTATGCTAAGCTAAACTAAGCTAAAAATGCTCCTGCCAGACCCGGAGATCGACTAAATAGATGTAAAAATAGAAAAGCTCGACTGTTAGGGGTTGTAAAATGAGCCTATTCCCAAAAATGGTTGAGTGTGTAATATCAATGTGCCTGCTCCAGCCATACTACAGCAGCAAGGTACGATTATTACGCCACAATGAAAATTTAGTCCCCTGCCATATCAGCCTAGAAAATTGCAACTTTTTATTTTCTGTTGTTCTTTGTACATGATGGAACCACAGCTAAAGCTTTAAATAGAAAAATTAAGTGTTTTTTAGAAAGTTGAGAGGGATGCTAATGGTCTAATCCGATTTAATAGGTTATGCTAAGCTAAACTAAAAGTGCTCCGGCCAGACCTGGAGATCAACTAATCGTATGTAAAAATAGAAAAGCTCGACTGTTTAACTATAGGGGAGTTGTAAAATGAGCCTATTCCAAAAAAATGATTGAGTGTGTAATATCAATGCGCCTGCTTCAGCCATACTACAGCAGAAAATTATGATTATATCGCCAGAATAAAAATATAGTTTTTCGCCATATCATACTAGAAAACAGCAGGTTTTTATTTTCTGTCAGTCTAAGTACATGATGAAACCACAGCTAAAGCTTTAAATAAGAAAATTATTTAGTGTATTTTAGAAAGTTGAGGTAGATGCTAATGGTTTAATCTGATTCAATGATTTATGCTAAGCTAAGCTAAAAATGCTCCTGCCAGACCCGGAGATCGACTAAATAGATGTAAAAATAGAAAAGCTCGACTGTTAGGGGTTGTAAAATGAGCCTATTACCAAAAATGGTTGAGTGTGTAATATCAATGTGCCTGCTTCAGCCATACTACAGCAGCAAGGTACGATTATTACGCCACAATGAAAATTTAGTCCCCTGCCATATCAGCCTAAAATTGCAACTTTTTATTTTCTGTTGTTCTTTGTACATGATGTAACCACAGCTAAAGCTTTAAATAGAAAATTTAAGTGTTTTTTAGAAAGTTGAGAGAGATGCTAATGGTCTAATCCGATTTAATAGGTTATGCTAAGTTAAGCTAAAAGTGCTCCTGCCAGACCTGGAGATCAACTAATCGGATGTAAAAATGAAAAAGCTCGACTGTTTAACTATAGGGGAGTTGTAAAATGAGCCTATTCCAAAAAAATGATTGAGAGTGTAATATCAATGCGCCTGCTTCAGCCATACTACAGCAGCAAATTATGATTATTACGCCAGAATGAAAATATAGTTCCTTGCCATATCATACTAGAAAACAGCAAGTTTTTATTTTCTGTCAGTCTAAGTACATGATGAAACCACAGCTAAAGCTTTAAATAAGAAAATTATTTAGTGTATTTTAGAAAGTTGAGGTAGATGCTAATGGTTTAATCTGATTCAATGATTTATGCTAAGCTAAGCTAAGCTAAAAATGCTCCTGCCAGACCCGGAGATCGACTAAATAGATGTAAAAATAGAAAAGCTCGACTGTTAAGGGTTGTAAAATGAGCCTATTACCAAAAATGGTTGAGTGTGTAATATCAATGTGCCTGCTTCAGCCATACTACAGCAGCAAGGTACGATTATTACGCCAGAATGAAAATATAGTTCCTCGCCATATCAGCCAAGAAAATCGCAACTTTTTACTTTCTGTTTGTCTTAGTACATGATGGAACCAAAGCAAAGCTTTAAATATGAACATTATTAAGTCTTTTTTTAGAAAGTTGAGTGAGACGCTACTGGTCTGATCCGATTCAATGACTTATGCTAAGCTAAGCTAAAAGTGCTCCCACCAAACCAGACTGTGGGAAAAGTCAACTGTTAACTCCAAAGGAGTAGAAAAATGATGTTTATTTAAAATAAAAGCTTGTTCATTTAACTTCTGCAAGCCTCTTTCATCCACCATATGGTTTATTTCACAGAAAGAAATGTGCTCAGAATTCTACTACAGTGACGAATGTCCTCCACACCATGATTAAGCATAAAAGCATTTATGCAGTTTAAGGTTTCGAGGATCCGCATACCTCTTCCCACATTTATCGCATATGTACTGCTTCCCTCCTCCATGAATGTGGCGTTTGTGAGTACGCAGGTGACTTCCCTGACTGAAATACTTGTCGCATTGCTCACAGTAGTAAGGTTTCTCGCCGGTGTGCACTCTCTGGTGCAGCTTCAGGCTGTTTGAATTGTTAAACCACTTATCGCAGTAATTGCAGCCAAAGGGTTTTTCTCCGGAGTGAGTGCGGCTGTGTGTAATGAGACTGCTCTGCTGACTGAAGCTCTTCCCGCACTCCTTACAGCTGAAAGGCTTTTCCCCCGTGTGAATTCGTTTGTGGATTTTCAGATTGACAGCCTGGCGGAAAGTCTTGCCGCACAAGTCACAACTGAACGGTCGCAGGCCTGTGTGGATGCGCTCGTGGTTTCTCAGGTTAACCGCGTGACGGAAAGCCTTCCCGCAAGACACGCAGGAGTACGGTTTCTGTCCTGTGTGGATGAGCTGATGCGTTTTGAGCGTTACGGCCCGTGTGAAGCTTTTCTGACACACTGAACATTTGAACTCCTTTTCGCCGGTGTGTGTGAGTTGGTGTCTGGACAGATTTTGAGCGATGTTGAATCTCTTTCCGCAGACGTTGCAGGCAAAAGGTTTTTCGCCGGTGTGGATGATTTCGTGGGTTTTCAGATGCGCCGCTTTACCAAAGGATTTGTCGCAGATTTTACAAACAAACGGCTTTTCTCCTGAGTGGACTCGTTGGTGATCGGAGAGACTTTGTTTGTGAGCGAAAGCCTTGCCGCAGAGGCCACAGCCGAAGGGCTTTTCTCCGGTGTGAATGCGCTGGTGGGATTTGAGGTTGCTATGAGAAGAGAAGCTCTTTCCACAGTCGCAACAAATAAAGGATCTCTTTCCAAATAAAGCAACAGCTTCTTGTGGGAGTTCACTGCCGTCTTCTGGCAAAACAGATGCTACTCCATCTTCTGAAGTATTGCTTAAGTGACCTGTCAGGGGAACAAGTGAATAATCATTGGTTGACTGTTTATGACAACAAAATTTCTTTAGGAAGTGTAAACTTCACCTCACTATTTACCCTTCCAGACAACCCTGCTGAAAATTCCAGCTTAAACCAGCCTAGGCTGGTTTTAGCTGGTCAACCAGGCTGGTTTTAGAGGGGTTTTGGCCACTTCCAGGCTGGTTTCCAGCCATTTCCAGCCTGGTCTTAGCTGGTTAGGCTGAGAGATGACCAGCTAAAACCAGCTTGACCAGCCTAGCAGGCTGGGAGCCCAGCCAAAACCAGCTATGTCCAGCTTAAACCAGGCTGGTCAAGCTGGTTTAAGCTGGATTTAGCTGGTCATTTTCCAGCCTAACCAGCTAAGACCAGGCTGGAACCCCAAAACCCCTCTAAAACCAGCCTGGTCGACCAGCTAAAACCAGTCAACCAGCCTAGGCTGGTTTAAGCTGGATTTTTTAGCAGGGAAAGCTTGGAAAAAATTAGGACTTCACCAAACCTGGAGTCACTCAGTTAAGAAAAGTTTCAGTTTGTACAACACTTTGGATAAAAGCATCCAGGAAATTAATAAATGTAAAAATAGTACTATTGTAAATTATTAATAACATTTAAAGGGCACCTATGATGAAAATAAACTTTTTTAAGCTGTTTGGACAGAACTGTGTGTAGATATAGTGTCCAATATCATGTTGGGGCGATATAAAGACAATAAGTCTCTTTTTGAAAATTTCCTGATGTCAATATGTGACCCAAATTCCGGTGATTTTAAGTCCCACCGCAATGTAACAGGAGTGCGGTTTGCCACGCACACACAATTTAATTAACGGGTGCCATGTTTCTATAATAACATGTAACCACATCCACAGAACATCATTTTTACAAATAAAATGTGATTAAAATATCGGTTACAACTCTCTGGGATTTTGAAAAGTTTAAAATGTTTTTTTTTTAAAGAGCATGTTTGTAATAGACAGTAAAATGACTATTTAATTCTTAACTGTGTTGGAAAAAAGAAAGACATATTTTTTTAATTTTTGTTTCTTTTTCTTATCATTAAATAATTGTATTTGTATTGCTGAAAGGTAATATATTAACTAAACTTCTTCTCTTGAGTGTGATATGCCTTGCATACTTATGAAGCATTTTTGCAGAAGTAGATGAAACAGATAGAAATGGAAAGGCCTGATTGCCTAAAATTAACGTAAGCTCTGCAGCTAAACTACAGTGCATCTGGAAAGTATTGATAGCGCTTCACTTTTTCCACATTTTTTTATGTTACAGTCTTATTCCAAAATGGATTAAAATCATGTATTTACTCAAACTCCTACACACAATACCCCATAATGACAATGCAATTTTTTTTTTTTAATTGTTGCAATTTATTAAAAATTAAAACCGGAAAAACACATGAACATCAGTATTTACAGCCTTCGCTAAATACATCGTTGATGCACCTTTGGCAGAAAGTATAGCCTCAAGTCTTTTTGAATATGATGCCACAAGCTTGGCACACCTGCCTTTTTGCCCATTCCTCTTTACAGTTGGATGGGAAGCGACAGTGTAAAGCCATTTTCAGATCTCTCCAGAGATGTTCAATAGGATTTAGGTCTGGGCTCTAGCTGGGTCACTCAAGCACATTCACTGAGTTGTTGTGAAGCCACTCCATTAATATTTTAGCAGTGTGCTTTGGGTCATTGTCCTGAAGGAAGATAAACCATTGCCCCAGTCTGAGGTCAAGAACATTCTGAAGCAGGTTTTCATTCAGGATGTCTCTGTACATTGAAGCATTCATCTTTCCCTCTATCCTGACTAGTCTTCCAGTTCCTGCTGCTGAAAAACATCCCCACAGCATGATCCTGCCACCACCATGCTTCACTGTAGGCATGCTATTAGCCTGGTGATGAGCGGTGCCTGGTTTTCTCCAAATGTAACACCTGGCATTTACTCCAAAGAGTTCAATTTTAGTCTCATCAGTGCAGAGATTTTTGTTTCCTTCATATGCCTTTTGGCAAATTAAAGGTGTGGAGTGGCTTCCGTCTGGCCACTCCACCATACAGGCCTGATTGGTGGATTGCTGCACAGATGGTTGTCCTTTTGTAAGGTTCTCCTCTCTCTCACAGAAGAACGCTAAAGCTCAGACAGAGTGATCATCCGGTTATTGATCACCTCCCTGACTAAGGCCCTTCTCCCCTGCTCACTCAGCTAAGATGGCCAGTCAGCTCTAGGAAAAGTCCTGGTGGTTCTAAACATCTTCCACTTACGGATGATGGAGTCCGCAGTGCTCATTGGAACTTTCAGAGCAGTAGAAATATTTCTCTAACCTTCCCCAACCTTGTGCCTTGAGACAATCCTGTCTCGGAGGTCTACAAACAATTCCTTTGTCTTCATGCTTGGTTTGTGCTTTGACATGCACTGCCAACCCTGGGACCTTATATAGACAGGTGTATGCCTTTTCAAATCATGTCCAATCAACTGAATTTACCACAGGAGAACTCCAATTAAGCTGCTGACACATCTCAAGAATGATCAGTGGAAACAGAATGTACCTGAGCTCAATTTAGAGCTTCACGGCAAAGGCTGTCAATACTGATGTACATGTGATTTTTCAGGTTTTTATATTTTTAATAAATAAATAAAATTTGTTCACATTGATATTATTGTGTATTGTGTGTAGAATTTTGAGGAAATAAATGAATTTAGTCCATTTTAGAATAAGGCTGTAACATAAAAAATGTGGAAAAAGAGAAGCGCTATGAAGACTTTACAGATGCACTGTACCTGTAAGCAGAGATGGGTTGAAAAAGAACACAGATTATTTGCAGTTGATAAGTCTTATGCTTTTAATGTTGTGTTGAGATTTTGTAGAAAAAAAAAAGAGGAAGCATGTATGGGTGCGGCCAACGGAGGACTGGAGAATAATTGACAAATGCCAAATTCCACTAAACTCCACCAGTTAATATCAGCTGCCTATAAAAGCTCGAGTCAGATATGAAAATTGTTGCGCACCTCCTGAGTTTAATTCTTGCATTGCATTGAGGAAACCAGAATTCTGTTCATCTCTTTCCAATAAATTACTAACATTTTTGACATTGAAGAAAACCCTCTCCTGACCTTTTTTATTGAGAACGTATGGAATTGATGAAATATTTCAACAACCGCTATAATCGCATGTCGCATGGTGTCAGTAAACATGCATATGTCTGTGTGTGCTGCAAATGACATTTGTGTGTGACTCACTTCAGACAGGCTTGAACAAACTCCACAACAAATACATCAAATAAACTTGAGGCTCGTACACAGCGAGACGCTTTTCGTTTGCTTTTATTGTCAGCGTTTCAAGACGTTGTTCCGCATTCAAACCAAAGCGTTTCTCAATGGCATCAAGCAGAAGAGTATGCAAAATCACTCCTTGATGTTAGATGGTGCTACACAACTTTATGCTTCCGACACCCACGTATAACACAGAAGAAGAATAAGAAGAAGAAAAGAGAAAGTTGACATGCTTTTTCTCGCATTGACATTTTTGCGCTTGAGCGGCTCCAAGTGCTGTTTACTGTAACTTCAGCAGCTTCGTGCACGTGAACAAAAGTGCCAATCTGATTGGTGGAGAAGGTGTTGATGTGGCGCGTCAAAACAAAAAAAACGAGCCTGCCGTTTTGCAGGTTGATGTGCACAATAACATTGATGCCCTTTATTTAGTCACGAGGCTTTAAACATCGACGGAAAACGCAGGGAAAAAAAGCATCCCGGTGCAAACGGGCCTTTACTTGGTATTTTTGACTTATTAGCTGTTTTTCAGCTTCATCCGAGTCTGTCTCTATCACTGACCGCTGTTCACCTGATGTAACACAGGAGAGGCAGCACCTTTGGATTTAAAGCCACAGGCTACAAAAACAGCTACAATGCATTCCGACACCAAAACGAGCAGGTTACATACACTCTTAGAAATATGAGGTTATTTTTTCTACCCAAATCTTAGGTTGAGGCATTTGGGTAATTTTTGGGTCTTATTTTCAGAGTCTTGGGTAGTTTCAACCCGGCTCTTTGGGTCAAATCAACTCACAGCAGGGGCTGACTGGCATACCACATGTTGTGTACTAATTTGTTTAAATGCAATGAAAACAGTGTAACATACACACAAATTCCTTGTGTTTTCAGATGATTAAAATGAGATTCATTCCTATAGCAGCCCTTAGTCAGACCTTTCTGAAATAAATAATTTCTTACTACCTTTTGTACACCTGTAATCAAAGCTGCACATACCCTACCGTACTTCAGTGATGCAGAGTCAAAACAACACAATTGCTGGGTCATCTTTCACAGGCATTCTTTTGGATTAAATTAACCTATTATTTAAGTAAAAATAAACAATCATTGGGTAGAAAACCCCAATTTATAGGGTTAAAAATAATAACCCAATTACTTGGGTTAATTTAACCCCTGGGGTCCGTTCTTCGTACGTTGATTACTCAGTTAGCTGGATTTGGATATTGACGATTTGACATGATCCAGGATCGTTTCGTTCTTTAAAGTTGATCCGAGAGTTGTTGTCATAGCAACAGTTCTGCTAGGTCAAACCTGATCAGGAGCAGGTTCAATTCATATAAACATTAGATCGGCTCAGTTCAAGCAAAGTTAATACAGAAAGTATGTTCCGAATTCTGATATTTTATTACAGTAGTTATATACACTTGGGAAAAGATTAAATATTTTTTTAACTATATATATATATAAAGTTATAGTTATTAATAAAATAAATAAAGTTATATATATTAATAAAACTTATGCAATCTGCACCCTCAAAATGAAAGTACAAAGACACCACCTGGTGGTGCAAAGAGAAAACTTATTGATATGAACTTTTTAGATCGCTTTAGTACAAATTGTGTATAATAGAAATGCACAATATGTGACTTTTTATAAAAGCAATAATACATTTATGCAGTCATAAACATGTTTTGACAGTTAATATGCCAGTGATTTGATGCTTCACAAAAGTTGCAGACGCCTTTACCGATATCAAAATGCTTTTGTAAACAACCAGTTATTCTTTACACCGATTAAAAAACAGCTACTATAATAAAGAAAATCTTTTCTAAATGTAGAACTAAGTACACTGATATGCATTGAAATACATGATGAATACTCTTGACACATAGAAGTGTAAAGCCTGCAGCTCACAACAAATGTGGAAGGTTATTGCGTGTCATATTTAACAAAGCGTTTACTGCTAATTTGATGTAATTTTGCTCACATGGATAATTGAATATTAATCAGATGATGTCATTACGCTGCTGTGCCGTCAGCCAATCGCTGCATTGCTGATCATGATTTCAAGAATCGATAGATCTGTCCTTTACAACACAAGCAGGGATCTCAGATCAGTTCATCCAGACATTTTAATCTGATTCGCGAACTTGTTTGAAGAACCAAATTAGCCAGAGATAAGTCATCAAGATTAAAAGATCCAGGATCTCTCAGATCATTTAAGCGAGGTACGAAGAACAGACCCCAGATGTGTTCTGTCCCATATTTACCCAGCATTAGGGTTAAAAACAACCCAATTTGGGTAGTTTTTATCCCTGTGTTTTAAGGGATAAAGAGTGTAATAAACAGTATGATGGGTGTTTTGAGCTGAAACTTTACGGACACATTCTGGAGACACCAAAGACTTATCTTACATCTTGTAAAATAGGTGCCCTTTAAAGGATATTTTCTGTCTTAAAAAGTTAGATATTTATAAATCACTCAAATTTTTAAAATATATATATACTTTTATCAATGATAAACAAAAACATTTTTGAAGCTTTGTTTTTTTTTTTTTTTGTGGTAACGGTCTTAATTTTCAACAATACTTTGATCCTTTGTAGGTTGCATAAACTGTATCAGTTTGAAATCATTTATTATCACATCATAAAGGTCACCCATGGTGAATTTTAGGTTCTACTCATTCCAAACTTCTGAATGCTAGTTTATCATATTTTCTACAAAAACATTAAAAGAAAATTTTCTATAAATGATTATTAATAATAGAATTCACCCAAAACTGACAATTCTGTCCTCATTTACTCACTTCCCTTTGAGTTTTACTCTTTCTTCAGTTTGAGTTGTCTTTTTTTCTACACAAGAGGAAAATATTTTGAAGAATAATGGGAAAAAAGCAGTAGACATTGATATTTATAGTTTTCTTTTCTCTTCATGGACTTTTAACCAACATTTTTCTGAATATCTTCTTTAATGTTTAACAGAAGAAAAAAATTCATAAAAGCACATAACTACTTGAGTTGGAGTAAATGGTGAAGAAACATTCATTTCTGGGTGAATAATCATTTAAGAAAGCTTTCATACGCACCAAATAAACATATTTTATTTGACTTCAATATATGACGCTGATGATTGAATTTATCTCAGATATAAATCATATTTTACATTCATTTAGCAGACACCCTTTTTATCCTAAGCAACTTACAGATGAAAGGGCAATGTAAGCAATCAAATTAACAAAAATAAATAAATCAATAAAATGCTATGACAAATCTTATCCAACAATAACAGTTAATCTAACAATGCACATGCCACGGTTTTAAGTATTCACATAAACCTATTGAATACAAAATAATCTACAATTAACAGTTCAAGTGTTAGTAAAACTAAAATGGGTTGAAAAAGCCGAAAGACTATTAGCATACCAGCAGTGATGGACTTCAAATCAACTTTTCCAAATTCATCTCTGATCGTCACTGCCAAAACCACTGGTGATTCTGGACGGTCCTCTGTGACCGCAACAGACTGCAGGCATAAAGTAGTTATGTAATGAAGCAGAAAATATTATAGCAAGCCTGTTACTTTTAAAATCAAAATGCACTACTGAATAGCTTATAAACAATACTGGACCATTTTCACACTTCACGGTGTGTTGTCTACATTACAGGGAATAGCAGAAAGCACAAAGATTTGTACATGATAAAATTCTCTTTGTTTTCTGAGACTGTGCTCACTGACAGTATCCGCTTGTTAAGTGTGACGTCAAGCGAAGCAGATTCCGGTTCCCAGCGCTCCATCAAGCTGTATGCGAAAACTCATTAAATGGTAATAATAAACATTTACAAAGTGATTCAATACTTTCAAAAATCACGATCGCAATATATAAAAACTATGCCTAATATCAGATGGCCAGAAAGTGATTAATTTTGTATTAATTATTAAAATATTAGTGTTTTTTTATTATGCAGATGAAGTCCAGAGACTGTTGTGTACACCATGATTATATATAAAATTCACTTTCATTGGTCATAAACAAGTATTCTATCAATTCAAATGAGTATTGGAGCAGGAAACAGTATTCCATACATCACCGATACATCATGACTTGAGCGGATGGTGTCCCCTTTACTTTACTGGGGCATTAGGACTCACACATACCATGAGCACCCCTGCTGGTCTCAGTAACACTACCTTCAACAGCAACCTAGTTTTCCAATGTTGTCTCCCATCCAGATACTGATTAGGCTCAGCCCTTTTAATAAAGTATTTTTTATAATATAAATGCAAATGCAAGACTCTAATGCTGCGTTCACACCAGACGCGTGTCAAGCGACATCCTGCAGCGCGATATGCGCGAATGGCGCGTATTGAGCGTTTGACGCACTTACTGCCCGTTGTGCGCGAATCGCTCAAGTTCAAAAATCTGAACTTAAGCGGACATTCGCGCTGCAATAACCAATCAGGAGCTTTGCTCTTGTAGGGGCGTGGTTGTGATGTACGCCTGTTGTTGGTGTTTCGAGGGAAATCCTCCAGCCAACAACAGTGCATCAAACTGGGCTTGGCTCAGTCAGAAGCATGGCTGAAAGCCTCCTTTATCCAGGTTAAGTTTCTGGAGGAGCTCTCATAGAGCTGGATGCACCTCTGAACGGATCTAGTGGACACAGACATGGCCCTAAATGTATCAATGCTGTTTTTCAGCCTTAATAAAACACATAAATACAGTTTTTTTCTTAATAAAATCCATGTTTGCAATGAAGATAGAGTCACTGGGCAGACAGAAGCCCTGCCCATCACGCGAATACGCGTCTGTTCTGAAGCGGATTTGACGCGCGAAGGAAGCGGGGTTTGACGCGCGAAGGAAGCGGGGTTTGACGCGCGAAGGAAGCGGGGTTTGACATTTTTCTGTCAACAGCAGATTTGAGCTGAAATAAATATTCTGGCTCTCACACATGCTCCAATTTTGACATTTAAACCTCATTATTAAAGGTGCTGTATGTAAGTTTGGACTCTTTTAAAGTATAAAAACACCTTAATATGTTTGCAAATATTTAAGAAACATGCTAAGTGAACATTGTTTATCTGAAAAACAATGCTAAAGTAAGATATAAAGTCAGGAACATCTGTCTTTGTTTTTATCCCTTTACCTCACCCAATGCCAGTTTAGCCAATTATATTTCAGCACCCCAGGTTGCCTTGGTGGAAAGCAGCATATATGATTCATCCAGTCAGGAAGGCTCTCAAAGCATGCGTCCATGACAGACATGCGACCTACGGTGGACAGTAACAGCCTCCGAAATGAGACGCAGATTCAGAGTTCCACATGAGGTGGTTATTAATTAGCAAATAATATAATTATTAAAAGCGCAAAGGTGAGTAGGTTACATTGTAACCCCGTGTCCAAACAATACGCTACGCGATGAGACATGTGATAAGCAATTTGGCTGTTTGCAACACACAAAACACAATAGATATTTAAATACAGCCATTCAGAAGCACAGAATAGAGCACTTACTGCACTCCAACGAAATGATAATGTTTATAATCTATTTAATACATATTAAACCTCTTTAACATTATTAAATGTACATGCTGAATCATTGATATGTGTTGGTGTAACGTTCGCTTGCAGAACATATTTTGTATAAGTGTGTGTTTGTTTGTATGTGGGTGTGTCGTTTCATGCATGTGTTACAGGTACGAACGGCATTGGAGGATCCGCATTTCGTGCTGATGATGTTGGCCGCTGAAACTGGGTTTGCGCCACCAATCGTTGGTTGGCGTAGCGTTTAAAAGCTAAGCCCAAACTGCAATGGCAATCGCTTTCTCTCTCTCTTTCCTTCTCGCTCTTATTCTTTCTGTGGGTCCTATGTGGACAGTCTCTCTTGCGAGGGCTAGTCTGAGAGAATGTGTTTTGCTTGTTTAATGCTCTTGTCTAAAGTTTGCGATTTAATAATGCAATGTATTTGCTTGTGAACTTGTCCAGTTAACTGACATGTTTGAGTGATGCCTCGGAGAGGTGTAGGAGTGAGTAAGTTGCACGATATACATATACAACACCCAGATGCATATTTTGTATTAGTTCACTAGGTTCAGGAGAATGTGCTGTTTTCTGTATGTTTTTTTTTTAGTTAGAGCAGTTTAGTTAAGACGTTTGGTACGTTAAAGATGTTTCTTGTCATGCTTTTCTTTTCATATTTAGTTTAGTTTGGTGAAAACAGTTACTGAGTTTTGTTATATTTATTTCTTTGATTTAAGCACATTCAACTTCTTCCTCTCCCCCCAGGTAATTCATTATTTAATCATTGTAAATATTTTCCTTTCACTGTATAATATGTATAATTTTCACTGGTTTCATTGGATGTATGGGCACTAAATAATTGCAGTGATATTTGGTTTTCAGTTTATTTCTTTCTCCATCCGCTTGTCACACACATTAAACTATTGTATGTTATGTCATCTACTCCTAGTTTAATATTAACATCTAAAAGGACGTAACAGTTGGCTTGTGCTGAGTCACAGATCTACAGTTCAATTTCAAACAGTTTATTTTATTTTCAAGAACAGAGGTGAACTATCTGCTGCTGCTTTCAGTAGTATGGCAATAAATGTCATGTAAAATGGCATTTAAACTCACAATATTAACATTTAACACTGAATAAAGCACATGAGGTGTACCTAAGGTAATTATTGTCAGTTTTCTGTTGTTCACTTGTGAGAAATTGAAGCCGTTTCTAAAATATAAATTTCAGGTGTTGGTTAGGACTCCCTTTAATATGGAGAATATTTATTTTATCATGTGCTGTTCCTTTTATTTACAACACGGCTTTAGGCTCGATAATCAGGCACACTCCTGTTGGTGTGGTCAATCTGGCAACCTGCGCTTGCATGAACCAGGCATGCAATACCTAGTTCAACCACTGGGTGTCAAGCTTACATAATGCACCTTTAATAAGTTGAATATTTTAATAGTTACAAATTTTAATTATTTGATGTATTACTCCCCCTCATGTCATTCCAAACACCTGAAAACTTCTCAAACTTTACCAAATTTAGGTAAAATCAGAGAGCTCCCTCATCCCCCATATACAGCTAGGGCCCCGACTCGCTTAAAGTCAAGAAAAATTCCAAAAAACATCCTCAAAACAACCAATCAGAATATTATCAAGCGACAAGAACACTTTTGAACACGCATAAAGCAAAAATAATGATTTTACTCATTCTTTTTTTCTCCTTAGTGTCAGTATATTGTGCACTTTCACGAACACTGGGGTACATACAAGGCAATTCATCAGAGGCACAACCAAACACGATATGTGAACATCTGCAATATATCGACACTGAGGAAAGAAACTGCTGAATAAAGTTATTTTTGCTTTATGGCAGCACAAATGTATTCTCGTAGCTTGATATTAGCCCCTTTCACACATACAGACCTTTTCCGGAAAGGTTGTAAGTGTGAACAGGCCCTTTTTGAAAATACCGGTAAATTCGTTCCGGCTATTTTCCGGAAAGAGAAGTTGTAACATTACCGGTGATTTGCCGGAATGCTGCGCTGTGTGAATGCAGAAGGAAGATTGCCGGAAACAGCGCGTCCACGTCTAGAACGTGCTGACGTGAGACACCAGCTTTAGCCAATCAGAACAGTCAGACGCATTCATGTGCGCGCGGTTTATGAGAATAAAAGCCTTTAAATATTTTTTCCAGACATCTTTAGCTACTAGATGTTAGTCAGATAATGTTTCTATGTTCCTTCTTAATGCTAACTGTGTAAATAATTATCGATAAAATGTTTATGATAATCCGTTGTTTGTTTACCTTCAAGCTTTGCGTGTGCCCGTGAGCGCCCATAGCGCCAGCACACACACATATCATGAACATCTCAACATGCGAAAGTGTTTCTCTATGTTTTTATTAGAGTTGTACTCAATACTGATTCATCCGAAGAGTTTGTAAAGTAGTCAAATGTTTACAAATACAAGCGCAGCCGTTTAGAGGTCATTTCTGGTTAATGATGTCAGAATTTACCGGCATTTTGCGATGGATGTGTGAATGCTCTTTTCCGGAAAAATTCCATAACGTCCTCGCCTGTGTGAACAGCGCTTTTTTGAATATACCGGTAAAGTTGTTCAGGAAATTTTCCAGATATTTACCGGTATCACTGTGTGAAAGGGGCTAATATCTGATTAAACCACTGAAGGTCTGTTTTGAAGATGTATTTATTTAGATTTTCAGGGTCTGATTTTCCCAGACTTCTTTGTATGAGTCTGCATAGTTGCTGTCTATGGAGGATGAGGGAGCTCTCTGATTTCAGCTAAAATATCCTAATTTGTGGTCTGCAGATATCAACAGTATTTAATAACAGACTTTTCATTGTTGGTTGAACTAAACCATAAATGTACATGTGGTTTGTTTTACCTCATGATCAGTTTTCATTTCCAGGCTTCTTGCGCTTCCATCATAAGAATGTTCCTCTTCTAAAAAAAAACACACGACATTCATTTAAAAGGTTTTATATTTCCATTAAACATTCCTCCTTGTACAGAAGTGTAATAATACTTCATGTTTAAAACTTCTTACCCAGTCCACCAGCAGACAGAATGTTCAAGATGCAGCCTGGCCGCTTTGCCCTTTTGCCTGAAAACGTTTTGCACTCCAGATTCAACAGTAATTTGGATTCATCCACGAGCTTTATTATTTTCCCTAGAGCTTCATTGCCCAATACTTCCATAACAGATGCAAACCGCTTCTGAAAGAACAAATATAACTCGTATAATACATTAAAATGCAGCCAGTATTCAATATTTTCATACATCCGTTTCAAATAATATAAATCAACATTTGCTGCATACTATTTCAACTAAAATAAAGCCTAGTTACATACTGCTTTCTTAACATGGCTTGCTTGCTTAGTTATATGTGCCTATATGTATGATGCAGTTAATGATGTTATGCGAGAGGATAGCGCCCTAGGAACTCATTGCAAGTGTTAAGACTGGCTTCTGCTGATGAATTTGCAAACTGTCTTCAGTAAATTTCATTTATTTATTTATTATTTTCCGGCTCTTCTTCATCTGATAGACTGTTCATTCTTTGGGCTAAAACTATAAATTACCCCTACGATAGGTGCTTTTTCTTTTTCAATAAGCTGCTTAATAATGTGCTCTAATATACATGATTTATTTCAAGAAATATGCATTTTATTCATTTAAGAAATATTTCAAATAAGTAACCTCGAAATTTAGGCAATAATGTCATCTGCAGCATACATTTGATATAAAGGCCAATAATTAAAAGATTTTACATAAAGCATACCCAACCAACTTGATGCTCTCCATATTTTGAGATATTGAGAAATAATGTTTATTTTGTAAAAACAGTGAGGAATCCTTATTTGTTGATTTTCAGAGTTAGCAATTATTTTGGAAAGCCTGTTTTTTTAATCATTCTGCTAAAAATAACGTTGATAACATTGAATGCAAAAGAAATTATTTGTTATTTTGAAAATGGTGATAATTATTTTTTTTTTAAAGTTTGTAAAAATAAAACTTTGACAGACTTTTAAAACCCCCTTCTTTATACAAGGTTTTTGTCAACGAACTTATTCTGTTAATGAAGTCTCTCAAAGCTTTAAAAATGTTTTTGGTGCCTGTTTTGCTGTATTTGTAAATTTCTAAAGCACAATAAAAAAAAATAAAAATTTAAAAAGGCCCTGGCTGCACAGTTGCTGCATGTTAATCCCACAGCATGAAGGTCGCTGGTTCAAGTCTCGGCTGGTTCAGTTGACGTTTCTGTGCCCAAAAACACGTGGTGCAGGTGAAGTGGGTAGGCTAAATTTGCCGTAGTGTATGTGTGTGTATGTGTGTGAATGAGTGTGTATGGATGTTTCCCAGTGATGGGTTGCGACTGGAAGGGCATCCGCTTAGTAAAAAATATGCTGGATAAATTGGCGGTTCATTGCACTGTGGTGACCCCAGATTAATAGAGGAACTAAGCCGAAAAGAAATTGAATAAATTAATAAAATAGGCCCATAATTTAGATGTGACTCTTTTTGTTTCATGTAACCTTTACTTAACTGAAATTAAAGATAACACGTTTTATAAATCGAGGTAACGGTAGTTTTATATTCGTAACTTGTGACAGGCTCCCTTTATTGTTTACCATGCTACTTTGAATATTCAAAACAACACTAGCAATACCTATAACTAAAGCTTTTATACGACTAGTTTATCTTGTGTTTCTCGCCTTCACACTTGACAACTGCGACTCCTGAATAAATCAGATTGTTTGATGCGGTGTAACTTAAACAGACCTGCGCAAACCCCGCACTGATCTTTATAGTATGTGCACCCGTGCGCTTAAACGGCTGTGAACGCGTCGCATGTTTAAGGTTGCAGGCCGCAGATCTCTAAACAACATCATCTATGCAAACTCACCATTTTCTCCTCCTTTTCCGTCTTCATTCTCGCCTCGGTCTCTGTGTATTTACGCTGATCTTTTGAAGCATCGCTTGTGAGACCCGACAGAGCCTCCACATCCGTAAGTTTGCACATTTCAGCGATCGCGGCGTGAACTAGAGCCTCAATCACGGACGCCAGATGCGTCTGTAACGCGACGCAGCGAGACATCCTGTCAAAACCAAATATCACACTACTGGAAGTCGCGAGTTTAGTTAAGTAGCTAACATTGCCCTCGATTCTCAATTGTGGAGTCGAAAAGTGAGCAAAGAATGACAAACAACTTTAGGTTGTAATAAACGGAAGTAAAACAGCGGCTGACATTTACAATCCGGGTTCTAGAATACATAATAAAAGTTCTCAGTTTTGGACAATAATTTTGAGAATATTACTTGGAATTTGATCTGGGCTCATAACAACAAATATTGTGTCACTAATAAAGTCAGTGAAATCTTCATAAATTTTTTTTACATAAATATAAAAAAAATATATCCAACCCACCAGTTTCTCAAGAGATATAAAGTTGATCTTTCTGAATCTTGTTTTTTTGCAGGTGGATGTTGAGACTGTTATGCATTTGTTTTTTTTAACTGTATGTTAAATATTTCTGGTCTAATGTTGGATGTCTGTTTAATATACTGAGTGGTCAATTAATATAAAGAAAGGAGATGCCTTATTTTCATTGAATAATTGATTGATTCATTCTCTTTTGGGCTTAGTCCCTTTATTAATCTGGGGTCACCACAGTGGAATGAACCGCCAACTTATCCAGCATATGTTCTACGCAGAATTCACACACATACACTACGGACCATTTTGGCTTACCCAATTCACCTATAGCGCATGTTTTTGAACTTGTGGGGGAAACCAGAGCACCTGGTGGAAACCCATGCCAACATGGGAAGAACATGCAAACTCCACACAGAAATGCCCACTGACACAGCCGTTGCTATACTTATTTAATTTTCACCATATATATATTGATAAGTATCTCCTGTTTATGTTAGATCATTTGATATTACTAGGCAAATTTCATATACACAAGTGGTCAGAGAGGAAACCTAATATTTCCAATTTCAAGGCTGATATAAAAATGTATTTTGACATGCATTTTTTATTATGCATGGATTTGTGGATTTACTTATTTATTTATATATTTACATATTTATTTGTTTATTTATTTATTGTTTTTGCAGGTTTCGTCCTCCATAGTATTTTCCTAAAAACATAATTACAAATATGTTGTCCTTTACAACTCAAGTTCTCATTATCAGAAGAAAACATCACATCAAATAAACATGTTTCTATATTATACTCCATTTTTTGTTAATAAACAACTTTAAATCTTTTTATAATATTCTTGAGCAAAGACAATGACAAAAATTGACTACCAAGCTTTAACACAAGAAATGTACTTATGAGAATTTTTTTACAATTAATTGCAAGAAACCGTATAGTACTATAAAGAATACAACAAAAGAGAGCAGTTCCTAATTGTTTTTTTATTTAGTATTGTTTTTAATTTATTTTATTATTGCATAACAAGATCAATAGCATACAAAAATGAGGAATACAGTATTTACAATTTTTTTTACCTCAAAGGAACAAATAAAAAGATAATAAAAAACATAAAATAAATTAAATTACAGGGGAATTACAAATAAAAATGACAAGAAATTTGCATAAATATACCAAAATTGCATACATCCTTATAGCTTTTTAATTTTTAATGTCTTTTAGGGTTTCGATATAATGCTTAAGATCAATTTTAAACAAATACATATTAGGTTTAGCATTGGACCAATTGTGTTGGTGTACATGGTATTTCCCATATATAATCATTAAATTAATAAACAAATTTTGCTCCAAAGTTTTATTAACATTATTGAATGGCAAAAAATATATTTACAAGAAAACCTAATATGTAATTTTGTGCTTAAATAAAAGATTTTCAACATCAAACCAAAAGCAGTTCGTGAGAAATTGAAATTAAAGCCAACCTCACGTCATGACGTCACGTGACGCAAACAAAACGCGCTAAAAAATTTGGCGCGCTCTGACAGCCATAGGAAGCTACGGCAGCTGTGTGTTGAAAAGCAGCCGGCACTTTTAAACAAGTCTGTGACCCGAGTTACTTATCTACGGCTGTGTATTCTCTCCGGTAAGATCGTAAATACACCATTACGTTACGTTGAACTGTTTCGAGTTAATGTTGTATAATGAGATGTGTACAGCTGTATTTATCTATTAAACTTCTTGTAAATGTTTAAGCATTCCTATAAACGGATGTTATTTGTGTGTAAATAATATTAAAAAGACTTGCATGAGAGGTATTTGTTTTAGTTAAGATATCAGTGAATGACTTGCAGGTTTTATTCTCCTCACAGACAGTCATGGGTTTGCTGGATCAGTGTGAGGAGCTCTTCAAGACCTCCAATCTGTATGAAGTCCTGGGCGTCTGTAAAGAAGCTCCAGACTCGGAGATCCGACGCGGATATTATAAAGTGTCTCTGCAGGTTCATCCAGACAGAGCTCCTGGTGACCAATCAGCCACGACCAAGTTCCAGGTAACCGCTGTGTATCTCATGCCAACTAATCATTCATGCAGTTGAAGATAGAGGTAAAGTTGGTTTTATATTAGGATATTCAGACATTCTCCCTAATAATATAATTTCAGAAAAGTGTTCTTTACAAATTGTAAATAGGGAAATCATATTAGCATCAAATGACTATCAAAGTACAACATTGTTCACAGTGAATTAGATAGTGTTAATGTTGTTTAGAAGTCATACTTGCATGCTAATTCCGATCGAATATTCAACGAGACTGCTAAATTAACGAATGTGCGAATATAAAATCAACTTTACCTCTATCAGTTGAAGTCCAAATTAGTAGCCCTCCTGTAAAAAAAAATCCTAAATGATGTTTAACAGAGCAAGTATTTCACAGTATTTTCTATAATAGTTTTTCTTCTGGAGAAAGTCTTATTATCTGGAGAAAGGCTGGAATAAAATCTGGTTTTATTATTAATTTTTAAAATAGCCCCTATTATGCATTAAAAAGGTCATATTTCGGTATTGGTAGTCTCCAACAACAGGCTGATACACATGCAAGATCAAAAAACATTGTCATTGTCTTATAATAAGCATTAATTTCTACCTTATTAGCAGGGCCAGACGGAATCTGCGGACGTTTTTTGCTATTTCTGCGGAGAATTTTGGTAAAAATCTGCGGATTTCTGCGGAATTATTTTGGGAGTATCCAGCAGAGTATCATAACTAAGACCTTAATATATTAAATAAAAAGAAATAAATTACTGAATAAAAACTGAATAAATTCAGATATACACACTTACTCAAGTAAAAAAACAGAATTAATGATGGGGTAAAAATCTGCGGAATTCTGCGCACACAGGTTCCGTGTGGGCCTACTAATTAGCCAATTGCCAGCCTGGTGAAAGGGGTGGTTCTTTTTTTTTCTTTAAAAGTGGACCTTTTTGCAGTTATGCACTTCAGTTTTTATTTAACTATGAGATGTAAATACTGCATTTTAGTGACATTTTTTGCTGGATTAACAAGTCAAATGTCATCATAATCACACTTTTTAATGTACTAAAAATATTTCCTAAAAATTGCTATTAAAAAAATTAAAACAAGACTAAATTTTAAAATACAAATTTATTACATCATATATCATTAGGAAAAAAATAGAAATCTGTTAAAGTTTTAAAGTAAAAAAAAAAAAACTGTAGCCTACTATAATTTATTAGACCAACAAAAAAAACTGGCCAGCACATTCAACTATCCTCCGTCACAATTTGGCCATTTCAATCAAAATAGTAATTAAAACATAACAATAATAATACAATAATAGTTCAATCCTTAGATTTTTTCTAGCCTCTTTGGTTAAAAAAAATAAAGCCTTATTCAATGGATTATTTTCATTATTTATGATGGCATAGCAGTCAAAATAAGACAAATGAGCTCATTATGGTACAAATTCTGGACCTGTCAGTGAGGGGTGGGTCTTCCGAACCACCCGAACCCCCCTGGCTACAGGCCTGAAAAGTTAGAACATGTTTTATGCTTGTAGTAAACATGTTTTTAATATAATTTTGACTGTAAAAGCGCACCCACATGTGTTTCAGGCACAGCTCAGATTTTCTCAAGGTCATAAATTATTTGATTTATATAAATTTTGCCTAAAAATGATTAGACCTGTCTAGTTTAATCTGGAATGCATCCCAGATCACCTTCTGAAGTGGTTTGAGCGTTCAGATTTATATCTGATCAGAATAAAATGAATGAAGTGACCAAACTTCAGAATTATTAGCCCCCCTTTTTAATTTTTTTCTTTTTAAAATATTTGCCAAATGATGTTTAACAGAGCAAGGAAATGTTCACAGTGTCTCTGATAATATTTTTTCTTCTGGAGAAAGTCTTATTTGTTTTATTTCAGCTAGAGTAAAAGCAGTTTTTAATTTTTTTAAAACCATTTTAGGGACAATATTATTAGCCCCTTTAAACAATTTTTTAGAAAGTCTACAGAACAAACCATCGTTATACAATAACTTGCCTAATTACCCTAACCTGCCTAGTTAACCTAATTAACCTAGTTAAGCCTTTAAATGTCACTTTAAGCTGTATAGAAGTGTCTTGAAAAACATCTAGTCAAATATTATTTACTGTCAACATGGCAAAGAGAAAATAAATTAGTTATTAGAGAAGAGTTATTAAAACTATTATGCTTAGAAATGTGTTGAAGAAATCTTCTGTTTGTTAAACAAATTGGGGACAAAATTAAACAGGGGCTAAGAATTCTGACTTCAACTGTATATCCATGTTAAGCTATACCTAATCGGGCAAACACCTATCCAATCACTAACAATATATTTCAATAAAAGTTTTAAGAAACGTTTATTTATTAACACTATTTACTTATAATATGGTTTAATTATCTGCCTTACAATAACAATTGTTTTTAATGTTTTTTAAGGTTTTAACTTGGCCATTAAAAAATATTTTTAGCATTTAACCTTGTGTAAGTCTTAAATTTCAATCGTTATGGTCTTAAAATGTTCTTAAAGTCTTAAATTGGACTTGATAGAAACCCTGAAATACTGCTTAAGTTGTCTCTAAAATGCATTATTTAAATCTCATAATTAAATAGAAAAAGAGGTGAATAACTGCAAAAAAATTTCCACTTTTTGAGAAAAAAAAAAGAACCGGGCCTTTCACCAGGCTGGCTCAGGCCAGACTTGCCTAATTACCTTAACTTGCCTAGTTAACCTCGTTAAGCCTTTAAGCTGTATAGAAGTGTCTTGAAAAAGATCTAGTCAAATATTATT